AGAAAGCAACATAAAGAACTATTTGAATATACTATTTTTGAATATTTAATAATTGTTTGACATGTCTATATGAAAACATCATTTTTGCTGTTAAACCTCCCCAGCTCGAAAAAATCGCAGACACCTGTCCCCGTAGCTCCAAACATTTCAATAAATGTATATTCCCTCCCTTCCCTTTGTAGAGTTGGACCCGGTGGTGTAATTGTTTAATTCACATCCCCAAGAAACTGGTGGGTTACACGTGCAAGAGATAGCAAAACAAGTATATAATATAGGTTCTTGTTTTAAAGGGGACACAACATCCTGTTGCAGAAGAACGTGATCTGGACGTCCGAGACTTTGATTGGTATCCGCACGTGACACCTATTTCGCAGGGCTTTAGAATGATGGTGGATTGCTGGGGATTATATAGGTATGTTGTCACAGCATTACATTATACGGACGCCCCAACCATGGTAGTAATTTACCATTCATGTACGGGCAATCCTGTCCGCTGATTTTGGGTTCAACTGGGGATCCGGGTCTCATGCATCCGCTCCGCATATGGATGAGATCGGATGAGGGTGACCGGAAAGTTCACAAAAAAATAAGTAAGCTCCGCATATATATTCACATTCCGATGAGAGGGCAAAGCTGGGCCAAGGCGAAGGCGAAGCCGGGCGCAAAGCATGCTTTTTGCTGAGGAGTTCCTGGGTGAAGAGTCTTTCTCCGTGTGATCCAGACCGCCCAAGCACAATATAATGCTAGGGCCACCAGGGCTTCAGCAGAGCTGTCCCAACGAAAGAATGTTTGAAAAGGACACGAGCCAAGTATCATATGACAAGCCAGGCATTTGTTTTATGTACGGCATGCATGGCTGAATTTTTGGTCGGACAGCTGGTGGCAAGTAGGTGATTGCAAGTGGGTGACTGTGATTTTTTGTGCTTGGGAGAGCGCTGATGCTTGGATGGCCAACACCCTGTTCTACATCGTTCTTTCTATTCTGGAGTTCATATATATATATATATATATACACAATGAAGCGCGCACCTGCTCACTGGTAGATGGCCTAGGCGAAGCAGGGCCCAAAGCATGGTCTGTGCAGAGGAGTTCCTTG